TCGTTAAGCTAGATTTAATTTTTGCAGAAATCTATTCTTTCAGGTGGCAAAGGAATCTCAGAAGCTGCCGAAAATCGAAACTATCTTGCGATGAGAATGACCGATGAGGTGAACGAGGTGATCCGAGTTTTGCAGCTGACGACCTACGACGAAGACGAATGGGACGAAGACAATGTAACCGTAATGAAGAAGGCGCTGGTAAGAGGGATGGTGTTGTTAGTCGTCGTTATTCATAATTTATCGATTTCTCAATTTTAGAATGCGATCGACAGTATACTACAAACGGCGTTAGATTGGTTGGCCGATCCGAAAGCTGTCCAAGGTGGAATTGGTAGGTTTGAAAATGGGTGCGGGTGTTGTTTATCCACACAGTACAAACGAAAACCTATAGCTGTGTGTTGGAAGCACGGGAGCTGGGTGTACTGTTGGAACCGTTGAAACAGCACGACGTTGGTTCCTCTTTCCACTGGCTGGCATTATGCTTAATAATGATCATTACGCAGTTTCACCTAAATGGTAGTTAAGTAGATCACTGCGTTCACAATCATGAGGGCCCGGGTTATCGCTTTTTTTCGTTCCGAAGTAGAACGGATGAGGAGATGAGGACTCACGCTGTCGGTCGCAACCGTTTGGATTGCCATTCTTGACGCAAACGTTTACAATGACGGAGACGGACTCAGATATTTTGTACACTCTCAGAAATTTGTGATTGAACTACTGTGTCTGGAAGGTGCCTTATGGCTGGAGAGTCAAACTTTTTCTAGATTTATGCATTTCTACCGTTTATTTCATTCACCTACTTGGAATATATTTAGAAACGCCTCCTTACGGCATGTTTTTTGTCGAAATTCTGAGTTTCAGACTTGTCGCTGCCGTTTTCTAGTTGTTTTTGTTTCAGGCGAGAAATCTCTACGGCGTTTGTGCGAATATGCCGGAAGGATCGGCGACCGTGCCTTACCTGACGATGCGGCAATGATTCGCAGAGCTGTTTCTAATATTTCTTCAATGACCGATTCGCTGTGCGAACTGAGGCAGAATAAGCAGGTAAGTGCCATAGTTTTGTGCAGTAGCCAGTGATGAGTTGATGCTGGCTGGGAGTCATGGACATGGACCTCTGATAAAGGAACGAAACTGTTCGGACGCGGGCGGGCAAGCATGCAAATACGCAAGCACACGCTTGAAATCGGGATTCCTGAGAAGAATTTTGGGACCTGTTCCTTTATGGCCGTTGCTTCTGTTTTTGGAACGTTGAAATGCCCAGTGTTGTTAGATGGTCAGAACGGCTTTCGATTTACTCAGTGCTACTTTTCATAGGGTGACACACCGCAAGCACAAGGTTTGGCCAGCGGAATCGCTCAGGAGCTGAAGGAGCTAGTTGGCGGCCGCGATTACGTTGGCACGTTGCAACAGT